ATTCACCACCAGATGTCAGGGTAGAGCTCATCCTGACTCTGCTTACACTTATTTGACCAATGCTGCGCCTGGGAGGGGCTGGAAACCCCGATAATATTGGAACATCACAGCTCAACTCCTCACCTGATACGCCCTAAAACCAGGCTAAAAATTAACAGGTTTTATTGATTTATTTTAAAAATAAAACAAAGGAGTGAATCATTCAGTGACATGCGGGGGAGGGGCGAGGGCCCAGGGATGGGGAGTAGCAGTGGGCAAGTGCAGTCATATCACACTGTGAACCTCCCAGACAGAAGTCAGAAAGCCTCAAGCCAAGAGCCAGATCCATAGCCCACTGAAATAAACAGCAGTCTTCCCCTTGACTTTGCAGGGCTTGAATCAGGCCTCAAGTGCGCTGTAACTGCTAGGGCTAACATGCAGTGGTATGCTGGTGTCACATGGTCACGGCCCAGCTTGGGGGCCTAAGGGTAAGAACAGCCCCACAGCCCAGAGTAGAGGCCTGGCTCACTCCATAACATCAATAACCAAGGGGGTGAGGTACTCGGAGTGACGGATCCCCAGGCTGAAATCCGGGGCCCTCGGCTTGGTGATGGTGACACGGCCGGTCTTGTAGTCTGCTGGCCCTGGAGTAGAGTCCCTTACAAACTTGTACTTTCTCCACATGCTGTAGGCAGGTTGCCGGTGCAAGTAGACATTCGGTTCGGGCACAACAAAGGATGCTGGGCCAGGGACTCTTGCCAGCTCCTCTGCGTTGCTCCACATATCCATTTTGGAGGCCATGCTGTAGCAGGGGGCAGATGGCTTGATGGGAAGTCCGGGTCCCAGCATCCCTGGGAGGGTATAGGCATTGGGAGCTGGGTTGGGATCATTCTCACGGTAGCGAGTGCGGTCGCCCAAGGAATAAGCCGGTGCGTAGGGTTCCCCCTGCGGATGCACCTTCTCTGTGTGGTATTCATTCGGGGCAGGTGTGCTCATCAAACCTAGGAGCCAAGAGGCAGTTTGGGATCAATGTTACTACGGTACAGTTGGATTCTGCCTACTTCCGAAGCTGGCTGCACCCTGAGATGTAGGCTGGTGCCCGTTGTGGGGTCATGCAACAGGCCTTTGGCCACTGCAGACCTCACTTCAAACGTGGCTTGCATTTCAAAAGAGTTTCTGTCTTACCTCTAGAGTGTCTCTGGCCTGGGGAAATGGCGAGGACAGAAGTGAGGTGGATTGGCAGAGCTGTACATGGGGGACCAGCAGTCAGGGTGCATTCGTAGAGCTGTGGGGTGGGATGCTAACAGGGGAGGGCATTGTGCAGTACCAGGTTTACCAGGGTGCCAATGGCTCCATGGCGCCGGGCCCACACTCAGAAGGGGCCCCTAACACCCACTTCCTCCTCTACCGCAGCACTGCAAGAGGCCGTGAGGGAGGGCAAGGAGCAGCACCCTGGTTACCACGGCGCCCAGTCTCCAGCCCCAGAGAACACCTACCCCCTGCCCCCCGGGATATACTGTACACTGCGCCAGGGCCCTGCCACATTGTATCACCCGCACCAAGCCCAGAGACAGGCAAGAAGGCTCCAACTCTCATGCTCTGCCTACAGGGATCCAGCCTGGGAGCCGAGAGCCCAGGGGACCTTGGGAGCAGTAGTTCCTTGGCCAGCTCCCTGCCTGGAGAGTCGGCCCTGGAGCAGGGAAGGAACTACATTTCCCAGCATTCCCTTGGCAGCTATCACCAGGAAAGAGAGGGAGAGGGAGTGGGGAAGCTGCCAGAGCTGGTGAGACCCAATGCACTGGCTTGCTGTGAATGGAGAGCTGGCTGCTAGAAGAGGGTGGTACTGTGAATGGGGAACATGTATGCACAAGGAGTAGAAGGCTTTGGCCCAGATATCACCCTCAGAAGACTTCCTCGGCTGGCAGCCCCCAAAGAAGGAATTGGGTGGAATGAATGGACAATGCGCCTCTATCTGAAGCCTAGCAGGGGAGGTATGTGGACCCCACCAGGAAAAGTTAAAATCATAAGTAAGAGAGGGAAGGCTTTACCAGAGGACCTGGGCAGCTTTAGGTACAGTACCAGGCACACAGGAGGATGTGACTCCATTTCCACTTCTGAGACACACAAGCAGAAATTGGCTTTTCCTTTCCAGATTTATCTAATATTCAGGAAGGGAATCTAGCACCTCCTTTCCAGATTTGAACACCCTCAAAGTTCAGGAGCACTCAAGTTCAGTTTGGACTGTTACTTCATTTCTCCCAAATCAAATACTGATCCACTGTAATTTGCTGTAGAAAAAGTAGGATAAAATTGAGCAACAAATGCTGGCTCTTCCCAATCCTAACTAGGACCGGAATTGCTATTTTCAACAACCATTATTGGTTTTTTGTTTTTGTTTTTTAGTTTTGTTTGTTTAAAAAGAAGATGACAGTAATATTGCATTGGCAAGTTCCCCACAGAAACAAAGAGTGGAACAAAAGAACAGCAAAGGCACCTCAACTTTTCCTTATTACGTGGGACAGTCTCACAATATGGATCCAGATATCCTCCAATCACACAAACTGAAAATCGTTCCACTTTACTGCAGTTCTGTAACCATGCAGGAACCATTCTGTGCACATCCAAAATTTCTACTGTATTCAGAAGCACCTTGCTTTTGTAACTATACCACCTGGTATTTTCAAACCTTGTAAGCTAAGCAGGTTTACATTTAGTAATTGGGTGGGAGGCCTCTCAGAAAAAGTTAAGTGCTGCAGGTGTTGATTATTCACTAGGTAACATGAGTCCCTCCTGTTTACAATAGTAAACCAGTGCGCCATAGTTTTAGAATGCACTGTACTCCTAGAGTCTAGAATTAGCTCCTTTGCTTCTATACACAGCCCATTAAAGACAATGAAAAGACTCCCACCGACTTCAACAGGCTTTGGGTGGAAACCTGGGGTAACTCCACTGTCTTCATAGAGTACCGGTCCCACAGCAGAGCGGGGTTGTGTGAGCTTGTTGCAGAGCTGCTGCTCAGGGATGGGGGATTTCCAGGCACCCCAGCCTCGGAAATCATCCAGGCTGCATCTTCTTCACTACTATGTGTTAGCTGTTGGGTGCATAGGAATTGGGGGGCCCTGCTGCAGGTGATGGGCATCTCAGGTACTTAAAGCCTTGGCCTAGAGTAGGGAAGCACCTAACTGCAGAGTCTACAGCTGCTTAACTGAGGATTAAGAGTCCCTAGGGCCACCGTTGCAAGATTCAAGCATGCTCACTCTTGGAATTGCCACCCCTCCCGCAGCTAGTAGGTGCACCTGTCTAAGGCTGGCCTCTGGCAATTGGCCCCATGGCTGTAGCCAGAGAAGCTACAGGTGGCTCTGTGACTACTGGGGGCCATTAAGCTAGGAGCAGATAAAGAAACTGGAGTTAACCACAAGAAACAGAGGTCACCTGTAGGACAGGAATGTCAAGGGGAGCAGGGAAAGTGGAAGCAGGTCAGGTTTGCCAGGGGAGAATAGGACCAGCTGTCTGGGGAGCACATTCAAGGTAGAAGGGAAACAAGCATGGGGAGAGGTGTCGGTGATCAGGTAGTGGAATAGCACGTAGATGGGAGCAGAGGGGAAAAGAAGGCTGGTAACTGCAGGTTTCCAGGAGCTAAGTGCTCACTGAGCAAGGGTTGGAGAAAAGACGGTTACTCACCGTTGTAACTGTTGTTCTTCGAGATGTGTTGCTCATATCCATTCCAGTTAGGTGTGCGCGCGCCGCGTGCACGATCGTCGGAAGATTTTTACCCTAGCAACCCCGGTGGGTCGGCTGTGGAGCCCCCTGGAGTGGCGCCGTTATGACGCTGGATATATACCCCAGCCGACCCAGCGCCCCCTCAGTTCCTTCT